CTGTATATCTTGTTTGTGTAGAAAAGTGTGGGGATATTTATGGGATGATAATATTAAGCAGTCGAGAATTGCCCACTATTTCAATTCTCTTAGATCTTAGAGATCGTTATCAAATAAGTGAAAAGTATTCCATAAATAAATCACAATCTGTTATAAAAATAGATTTCTTTTTATTGTAACAAATAACATAACTATGGTATTAGGCAGCATGCTTGATAATAATCAGTGAGTATTTAGTATAACACAAGTATGCAAAACAATGGTATGGCTATACATGTTAAGGCTAACAGCACCAGCTGTCAAGACTTACATGATTTATGAGGTATTTCGCAAAACAAAAAGCAAACTTCACACAGCCCAGCATTAAAACCTTGGCTAACAGTTAAGTCAACTGAATAACCCTTTCAATGCTGGCTAGATCCTCCTAGGCATATAGTATCCTATCTCTCCGACAGGTAAGACGAGGGGAGACCACGGGCGGCGCCGGACTGAGGGTGAGTGCTGCAAGTGGCGTGCAGCCTCCCCTCCTGACATACTCCAAGTGAGGTCTCACCAGTATTCTGTACAATGGCATGAGCACTTCCCTCTTTCTACTGCTAATACCTCTCCCTATACAACCAAGCATTCTGCTAGCATTTCCTGCTGCTCTATTACATTGTCTGCCTACCTTTAAGTCATCAGAAATAATCACCCCTAAATCCTTTTCCTCAATTGTTGAGGTTAGGACTTTATCAAATATTCTGTACTCTTCCTTTGGGTTTTTACGTCCAAGATGCATTATCTTGCACTTGTCCACATTAAATGTCAGTTGCCACAATTCTGACCATTCTTCTAGTTTACCTAAATCATTTGCCATTTGGCTTATCCCTCCTGGAACATCAACCCTGTTACATATCTTAGTATCATCAGCAAAAAGACATACCTTACCATCAAGACCTTCTGCAATATCACTAATAAAAATATTAAAGAGAATGGGTACAAGTACAGATCCCTGAGGTACCCCACTGGTGACAAGTCCAAGCTTCGAATATATTCCATTAACTACAACCCTCTGTTGCCTGTCACTCAGCCACTGCCTTACCCATTCAATATTGGAATCCAAACTTAAAGATTGCAGTTTATTGATAAGCCTTCTATGTGCAACAGTGTCAAAAGCCTTACTGAAATCTAGGTAAGCAATGTCTACTGCACCACCCTGATCTATAATTTTAGTTACCCAATCAAAAAAATCAATAAGATTAGTTTGGCATGATCTCCCTGAAGTAAATCCATGTTGTCTCTGATCTTGAAATCCATGTGTTTTAGATGTTCAACAATCCTATCCTTTAACATGGTTTCCATCACTTTCCCCACTACTGAAGTAAGGCTTACTGGCCTATAGTTGCCCGACTCCTCCCTATTACCTTTCTTGTAAATGGGCACAACATTTGCTAACTTCTAATCTTCTGGGACTACTCCTGTTAACAATGATTGGTTAAATAAATCTGTTAATGGTTTTGCTAGTACACCACTAAGCTCTTTTAATAGCTTTGGGTGTATTCCATCAGGTCCCATTGACTTATTTGTCCTTACTTTTGACAGTTGAAATAGAACCTCTTCCTCTGTAAACTCACGTGTAATAAATGACTCATTTATCCTTTTTCTCAACTGAGGTCCTTTTCCTTCATTTTCATCTGTAAATACAGAACAAAAATATTAATTGAGGCAGTCAGCTAGACCTTTATCCTCTTCTACATACCTTCCTTCTTTTGTTTTTAATCTAACTAATCCTTGTTTTACTTTTCTTTTCTCATTTATGTATCTAAAAAAGTTTTGTCCCCCTTTTTTACTGACTGTGCTATTTTCTCTTCTGTGTGTGATTTGGAAGCTCTTATAACTTGCTTAGCCTCTTTCTGCCTAATCTTATAGATCATTTTGTCTTCCTCACTCTGGGTTTTTTATAATTCCTAAATGCTAACTTTTTGTTTTTAACTATTTTGGCCACATCTGCGGAGTACCACAGTGGTTTCTTTAATTTTTTGCTTTTACTGACAAGCCTAATGCAATTTTCTGTTGACTTCAATAGTGCAACTTTTAAATAATCCCATTTCTCTTGGACTCCATTTAAATTGCTCCAGTCTGATAATGACTCCTCTACACATATTCTAATTTTAGAAAAGTCTGTTTTTCTAAAGTCTAAAACTTTTGTTTTTGTGTGGTGTGACACAGTCACTGTTCTTATATTAAACCACACTGACTGATGATCACTGGATCCTAAACTTTCACCTACAGTAATAGCTGACACCAAATCTCCATTTGTTAACACTAAATCTAGTATGGCCTCTTTACGAGTTGGCTCTTCAACAACTTGTTTTAGAGACAATCCCAGTAGTGAGTTTAGAATATGTGTGCTCCTGGCACAAGTAGCTAATTTTGTTTTCCAATTTACATCAGGAAGATTAAAGTCACCCATGATGATAACTTCCCCTTCATTGTCATTTTAGCTATTTCCTCAACTAGTAGATTATCTAACTCTTCAATTTGTCCTGGGGCCTATAAATCACACCTACACGAGTTACTGTGTGATTACCAAATTCTAACGTAACCCAAACGGACTCTATGTTTGTCTCACTAACTTTTATTAGGCTAGATTTTATGCTATCCTTCACATACAAGGCCACCCCTCCCCCTTTCTTGCCTTCCCTATCTTTTCTATATAAAGAGTACCCTGGTATTGCTATGTCCCAGTCATTTTTCTCATTATACCATGTCTCAGTAACAGCGACTAAATCTACACTATCAGTTGCCATTATTGCCACAAGTTCATGGATCTTTTTCCCTAAACTGTGAGCATTTGTAGACATGACTCTAAGCTTATCATTTTTTAACACACTTGCTACAGGCACCTTCTGTCCTTGTTTTGGGGGACAATTGGATTGATGTTTTATCACCCTTTTGCCCCCCCCTCCTAGTTTAAATACATCCTAGCAAAACCTCTGAACTGCTCACTGAGAACATTTGTTCCCTTTTGAGAAAGATGCAAACCATCTTTTTTTGTACAGCTTATTTCCATTACAAACAGAGCTGCCATGAGAAAGAAAGCCAAATCCTTGCTCCCGACACCATTCACCAAGCCACAAATTAAAGTCCCTAATACGCATCCGCCTGTCGTTCTGAGTGTTATGCACAGGCAGAACTTCCGAGAATGACATTGTGGAAACAACCTGCCGTATATATTAGTGGCAAAAACACTAAAAACTTCCATAACCTCTGAAACCTCATTGCAAGCCAAGTCATTTGTCCCTAGATGGACAAGTACATCCAATTCCCCTTCCTGCTTTGCTTGCTTAACAATATTACAGATATGTATCCTGTCTCTGTGAGCAATAGCTCCGGGAAGACACCTCACAAGACCACCATTGTCCATCTCCACACCTCTTATGATGGAATCCCCCAACAACAACTGCTTTCTATTAGGCCTCACCATAGTCTCCAAGCTGGTCTCCACAACACCACTAGCCTCAGTGCCTCTCTCCACAACACCACTAGCCTCAGTGCCTCTCTCCACAACACCATTACACTCTGAAAGTGCAGAAAATGAATTATGTAGAGCAACAGACTGTGCAAAATGCCTTTGTTCCACAACTCTAAGTCTACCAGATCCTACAGTAATCTATCTGCCATTCCTAGTATGTCTCTGCGGCAGTGGCTTTGCAGCAGTTCCAGTCTGAGTTTGTTCACCAGATAATTTACAAATCTCAGACTTCAAAAATACAATCTCCTGCCGCAAGATAGAGAACTGTCTACAGATTAGAGAACAACCAAATCTCCAAAAAGTAGAACGTGAAACAAATGCATAGCAACTATTACGCTGAACTAAGTCTGCCATTCCAATGAGGACAATAATTTAACTCAAACTAATCTTAACTTTTTTCTTTATCCTCCTGAATACCTCAGATTACCTCCAGTTTCTCTCCAGAATATCTCCAACTACACACTTAGAAGCAACACTTAGGTGAAGCAACCAAGCTATATTAGCCAAGCTAATGACAACAAGCCTTACATAACTCCTAAAATCCCCACACACTAGGAATGTTTAACACCTGGGCAGGCCTCTGCTTATTTGCAAACAATAGCTAATTAACCAGCAATCAATAGCAAGTAACTAGCTTAATCAAATCAAATGCCTTATAATTACCAACAGGAATTCAAACCTTGTGCAATCAGTAACCTTTTCCTACAGATGAATCTTACCTGTAACAGTAGAAAAGAAAGCTCTTAGCACAACTTTTAGACAGTTGAAGCTTCTGTAAAACTCTCCAGAATATCTCCAACTACACACTTAGAAGCAACACTTAGGTGAAGTGGAATCAAGGTCATGCGAGTGACGTGTACAGTTTGGAGGACGAGGCGCTGGTCGCACAGGGGCACCAGTACAGCATAAGAGGGAGCAGGATGCAAAAGCGGACCGGCCGTCCCCTCGTGCTCATCGGCATGTATTAGCACGAGAATTACTAGTTATCCAAGTAATACATGTAGCGATCAAAGGATCCATAATAGACTTGAGCGAACCTGAACTGCAAAGTTCGGGTTCGTACCAGATTTAACGATCTATTCGTAGTTTCACAGTGAGGTGGGCAGTCCGGTAACCAGGACCCAGACACTGATGTTGAAGTTAGGAGTCACAGTGTGGAATGGATTAGCAGGGTCTGGTGCAGGGTAACAGCACACCCCATGGTGTTGAGCACCAGCGTTTGTGCGGCCACAGTGCCCTGATGCAGCTTCAGTAAAAAGAGTACTTGATACAGAAGCCATCACCAGATTGATCCGCAACTTGGAACAGGATGCGACATTCACTGTAGCGGCTGTGCGCACTTTTGGCTTTGTCATCCTGCTGCTGCTCTTCTGTCTGCACTGCAGCGTAACTGCGGACTTCCTGCTCATCGCCTCATGAGACTGTGCAAGCAGCATCAGGCGATAGTGGTGTTTCAGCTGCAGCACGCACGGGTCAGTGGCTCTGCACTAGACTTCACTCCAATTGATCAGAGTTAAAGGATTTCAAGTGGACTCATTACAATTACAGGGCCTCTAAAGAGTCCTGTCTTGTTATTTGTCGTCACTACCTTCATTTGCGCGCCTGCTGCCTTTCTTGCATGTGGTAGCCGTTTCTCAGGGTCCCTCTACGGAATGGAACCCTGATCCCCATCACCCGTGGTCCCCATGGTAGGCGCAGAAACTGGCTTTGAAAGTTGATATGGAGGACATCCGCATGCAAAGTCGCCGCCACGGGGATGTGCGATTTGCCCGAGGTTCTCTAGAATCAACAAAGTTCCTGCACAACTATAATGTCAACAGCTACTCTGCGGAACAGAGTTGTATTTTTTCATATGTCCCAATATTTTGGGGGCTACCCCAAGTAAAATATATATATATATATATATATATATATATAGATAGATATTTTAAAACAGTGTTGGCTACCTCATCCTCCTCCTCCACCGCTGCTTCCTCTTCCACCGCCATGGTCACCGCCTCTTCAACCTATGGGTCACTTAGTATAAACTAGGTAAACCGGAGGCCGCAAATGTTTCTTTTGTTGTATGTCCCAATATTATGTGGGCTACCACAATAAAAAAAAAAAAAAACATAAATAACAGTGTTGGCTACCTTATACTCCTCCTCCACCGCCACGGTCACCGTCTCTTCAACCTATGGGTCACTTAGTATAAACTATGTACACAACAGCAGAGGCTTGTGAAGGCCTTTTCTCCATGCATCAGGAGTTGATCTCAGTTTGAACAATGAAAGCGAATACCCTGCACTCCAATCCTCTCTCAAATGGATAATTCTGGTGATTATCCTGATGTCATGCTTTAGATTTTGATTTATGTTCTTCCAAAGCTAAAATCAAAGATTCCATCTAGTGCTATTTTATGGCTCAGCTGTATTTTAAATTTTTATGTTATTTTAAGTGATTTCCCTATCCACATTTGTTTGCAGGGCACTTGTCCTACCCTTACTTGCTTTTACTTGCTTTTGCAGCTCTCTAGCTCTTTCCAGGAGTTTTTTTAGAGGCATTTTTGTGGCCCCATAGACCCTCTTAGGGTATCCTCAGACGAGCATAACATTGGTTGGTGCTAAAGACCAAAACTTATTATTTATTCTTGCACTGACCGTGCAATCCCGAGCTCAACTCTGGCTATAATAATGGGGGTTTATTTGGACCATATACCTAATTCAATTAGGCATTACTCCCCGGTTTCGTTGCAGTAGGAGTTTTCTTTTTAACTAGTGCACATTATTTTTTCTTGCACTACTTAAACACACTCCAGTGCCTCCTTTTTTTTTTTTTTTAAACCAAAAAGCACTGTAAATGTGGATATTCAATTGTGCAAGACATAGGTTTGTCAGCACTAGCGACATACTTCTTCTGAGCCTGTTTAGATGCACAGGGACAGTGAATACTATACACTGTCATATGTAACCAAAAGTTTTTTTTCGGCAATCCACTGTTACATATATATTAGATGCAGGTATCCCTGTGCTATCTAAACATGGCTTATTGATTTAATCATCATTGTATGCAGCTTATTTGTACCTTTGGGACACAACTCACCCTGTATACTTTTATTTGTATACAACTGTATTGTAAAAACCGTATGGTTTTTGCACATTACTAGGAGAAGGATCCTGAAAACTTTTGAACAGGACCTCTTTATCTATATCTTGATTGTAGCTACATTTAGTGTGAGTTTGTTTTCCCTTTAGGATTGTTACTTTTATGGTCTATTTTGTATATATAGAATCATTATTTTCTCCTTTCATATCTATAGCGTTGTGGCAAAACCGATCTCGCCACGTGTCCTTGGAGGGGGCTGCTTGCCCGCCTCTTGCCTTTGGACTATGGCCCTGCAGGTTAAACTGTTTATTTTCCCTGCAGAAAGGCTTATTCGTGTGATCTGAGTGCCATTCATCTAATAATGTGCAGTCAGATCCAAGCTATCTGGGGATATGTAGAAATGTGTGTTTTATGTACTAAATGTGTCAGTATGTAATTTTATGTCTTTTACTGTCTTTTGTCTGCCATGTGGGTAATGGAGTTTGGCTCTGTCTTTGGAGATAATTAGATTCCTTCTCCAATTATCTCCAGGGCAGAAGGGAGGAAGCCAGGATGCATTGTGGGGATGTTTTACTTTTACTGTTTGAGCCAGGGGGAACAAAAGATACTTTTACTAACTTTTGAACCCCTGGTCTGATTCATGCCATTTTTTAATATGTTGTTCCCCTGAATGGATTGATTGTGAATATGTATTTTTATGCGAATGTGATGTATATTTTGGGAGTTATGAATGTTGTGTAAAAACTGTATTTTCCCTACCTATGATAATTGTATTTCCCTGTGTGTACAGATAATTAGTTTACAGGTAGAGGGGAGGGCTATGTGTGGGATGTAACTATTGTGTGATTGGTTAATGTACGTTACTGTGTGTGTCCCTCCCCTTCATGGGAGCACCTAATAAAAAGGGCTGCAAGCTAGCAGCCAGAGAGTTCTATTTTTACCCTCAACTTGAGTCCTGTCTCTTATTGGGGGAATCTGCTACAAGGGATTGCTATGCTAGGCATATTCCCTTGCTATAATCACTGAGCTCTTGTAAGAGCTTGTTCCTGCTTCGTCCTGAAGGGAGATAGCTGCAGCCTGCGGTGCTTATGGTGTCTGGTGGAGTGCTTGGAGTCCTCTGGAAGCGCTAGGAGCATCTTTCAACGGAGGTACCCAGTCGGGGTGCCAGGTGATCCGTTACATTGGTGGCAAGCGGCGGGATGGCATCCTAGTGCGAGGAGAAGCAGCTCGGAGACACCGGTAACGTGTGGAGTTGTGCAGCGTCCTTATCTTCAGCAACATAATGGAACCAGCAGTGGCTACAGCAAGCATGGCGTATAGCTACTCCGTACTAGAGTTTGGCACGATGGTAGGGTTGCACCTGAAGTTTTACGGACCCAATCCAGAGGAGAAATACGTGCGGTTCGTGTGGGACATGGTGACCCGGAACCTACAACACAGGGCGTTGAGGGAAGGCCAGTGGGCACGTTGGGAGAAACTCCAGCCACAGGTAGAGTGGGACGAGGAAGAAACCGAGGTGGCCGGTGGAGATGGGACCGAGGTCTCTCTACCGGCCCTACAGGGATGCTGGGCACCCGGCCCAGATCCCCAGCGGCAGTATGTTTTACAGGGAGGGGAGACAGTCGGTCTCACTCCCCAGCGGCAGAATGTGTTATTGGAGGAAGAGACAACCGGTCTCCCTCCCCAACAGCAACCAGAGGTACCCGAGGTAGAGGACCTCATAGACTGGTCCTGGGAGGACCCCTGCAGGCAGGTGGAGATGGGACCGAGATCTCTCCACCGGCCCTACAGGGATGCTGGGCAACCGGCCCAGATCCCCAACTAGAGCTGGAGTTACAGAAAGTGGAGAGCATCGACCTCCCCCCCCAGCAGCAGCTGGAGTACCAGGGGGAGGTAAGTGATATTTCTCCTCCCCAGACAACTCCTTTGTTCCCTGACCCCCCAGCAGAAGAGCTGGCAACTGGGCAGAGCGCCGCTGGCCTCTGTCCTCCCTTGTTTCCTTCCCCTGAGCCTGACTTTCTACAGGCTGCCCCAGCGGAAGGTGCCGTCCTTCCTCCCCAGCGGCAGTGCGTACCCCAGGGAGCTGATGGTGTCGTCCGTCCTCCCCAGCAGCAGTGTGTAACCCAGGGAGCCGAAGGTGTCGTCCTTCCTCCCCAGCGGCAGTGTGTACCCCAGGGAGCTGAAGGTGTCGTCCTTCCTCCCCAGCGGCAGTGTGTCCTGCAGGGAGCAGAGACCGTCAGTCTCACACCCCAGCAGCAGGACAAAATAATGAAAGGGGAGACAGCTGGTCCGCCTCTCCACCAGCAGAGAGAGTGTCAGGGAGAGGAGCCTGTTAACCCCTCTCCCCAGCGGCAGTTGACAGTCCAGAGAGAGGAGCTTGTTACACCCTCTCTCCAGCGGCAGCCTAACCCACCAAGGGGAGATGTTGAGCCCCGCAACTGTGCAGATGGGACCGTAGTCTCTGCGCTTACAGCCCAAGGGGTAGAGACGGTCGGTCCTGTTCCCCAGCCCCAGAGCTGTGTACCCAGAGGGGAGACGGTCGGTCTCCCCCTCCCACAACCAGGCTCCAATCAGGCTACTTCGGTGGTAGCACTGGCACCAGGGCAGAGTACCGCTGGTCTCTGCCCACTCAGCAACCCACCAAGGCAGTCTACCAGCTCCCCACACAGCCGTGGTGAGGCACCTGGACATGGACAAGTTGCTACTTTATCCAGGTGGAGTAAACATTTATTGTGGGTGGGCTGTACTGCTGTTTGTGCTTCGTGGGTGGGTTGCTGGACTAACCAGGGCACTGACCGGCAGGAGGTCAGATACCCTGTTAGTCTGGGGGGCAAAGGGGAGAAGTGTGGCAAAACCGACCTCGCCACGTGTCCTTGGAGGGGGCTGCTTGCCCGCCTCTTGCCTTTGGACTATGGCCCTGCAGGTTAAACTGTTTATTTTCCCTGCAGAAAGGCTTATTCGTGTGATCTGAGTGCCATTCATCTAATAATGTGCAGTCAGATCCAAGCTATCTGGGGATATGTAGAAATGTGTGTTTTATGTACTAAATGTGTCAGTATGTAATTTTATGTCTTTTACTGTCTTTTTGTCTGCCATGTGGGTAATGGAGTTTGGCTCTGTCTTTGGAGATAATTAGATTCCTTCTCCAATTATCTCCAGGGCAGAAGGGAGGAAGCCAGGATGCATTGTGGGGATGTTTTACTTTTACTGTTTGAGCCAGGGGGAACAAAAGATACTTTTACTAACTTTTGAACCCCTGGTCTGATTCATGCCATTTTTTAATATGTTGTTCCCCTGAATGGATTGATTGTGAATATGTATTTTTATGCGAATGTGATGTATATTTTGGGAGTTATGAATGTTGTGTAAAAACTGTATTTTCCCTACCTATGATAATTGTATTTCCCTGTGTGTACAGATAATTAGTTTACAGGTAGAGGGGAGGGCTATGTGTGGGATGTAACTATTGTGTGATTGGTTAATGTACGTTACTGTGTGTGTCCCTCCCCTTCATGGGAGCACCTAATAAAAAGGGCTGCAAGCTAGCAGCCAGGGAGTTCTATTTTTACCCTCAACTTGAGTCCTGTCTCTTATTGGGGGAATCTGCTACAAGGGATTGCTATGCTAGGCATATTCCCTTGCTATAATCACTGAGCTCTTGTAAGAGCTTGTTCCTGCTTCGTCCTGAAGGGAGATAGCTGCAGCCTGCGGTGCTTATGGTGTCTGGTGGAGTGCTTGGAGTCCTCTGGAAGCGCTAGGAGCATCTTTCAACGGAGGTACCCAGTCGGGGTGCCAGGTGATCCGTTACAAGCGTGTACACCATTTATTTTAACTATACTATTAAAAGCTATATTTTAATATTTAGGGGCACTCACTTTTTTTAAAATGTATTTTATATAATTTGTCTTTGTACTACCTAGCCTAGATTTTTCTTCTTTCTGTATAACTTTTCTATGCCTATCTTTTTTTTTGGTGTTGCGTCACCATAATTCTGTAATTAATTCTAAATCTGATTTAGTTCCCGGCGAGCGATTTTTATAACAGCCTGTGGGGAATCCACCATGATTACCACTTCTGCAAGGCTTTTCTGGGCCTCTCTCTTGACCTGCCTCCCCACAGCAGCAGACTACATTTCCCAGTGAGACCGTGACAAGATTTTTCACGCCTTTTCACAGTCTAACTCCCATCCACATCAGCTCTGACGTGATCTTCCGACTCCCTGTACTCAAAGTGTCTGTCCTCCGTTTTCCCATCTTTTTTACCGGCGCTAATAATGGACAGAACTGTGGGCATCTCCTCTCCCCTTTTAAACTGTTACTTGTGGGTGAGCCCCACTGATTTATCTTGTGTGGGTGAATCCCACTGATCTACCGGAGTTGCCTCATCTCTTATTTTCATTATTGTTTAGTGCAGTGCATCCCTGCCTTTTTCTTAAGATTAGTCATTTATATTTTATTTTTTAGTGCAGTGCATTTCTGCCTTTTACCTAAGATTGAGAATTTTTATTCACCTATATTATCTTTTGCATTATTTTATATAACTTTACACAATTAAAGCCAACGTTTCTGATCATTCAGACCATGCCATTTCCTCAGAATTATGGGCATGACCTTTCTCTACTATTGCGAAGTCAGTACCTAAGGCTTTAGCAGTCTTTCATGAACAAGCTTCTACCGAGGCTAATCCTCCTGCACACCACCTCTCTGATTCTGAGGACTCTCATCTTTTGGATCAGGAAGGAGCTATGCGCAAACGACCTTGGAAAGGGGATAACGCTTCTGCAGGCTAGAGCAAAGCTCCTGCCAAATCACTTAAATTGTCCCTGCCACTTACTATGAACGATACCTTAGACCCTCTAGTGGGCTTCACTTTCAGCCCCTAGCTGATCACATGATGACTATGATGTCAACTATTCTGATGCAAATCTTCCGGCAAATGTGCTTAAAGATTTCTAAACATCAGTAATAAAGGAGACCTTTATTACAAAAAATTCCAAGGAGCCTTCTTCAGACATCCTGCTTCTGGTCTCCCACTCTTTGACGCTAGGATAATTTGGCACCCACGCTCTGCCGAATGGGCTTCTCCAGATCACATTGCTAATTTCTGTAAAATGTGGCTGTGCAAGTCCTTAGAGAAGGAAATTAGAGCTAAATTGAAGGCCGAATGCCTCCGGCCAACTATCTCAGATGAAGTAACTTTAACACCAGAATTTGATCCTATGCTGGTTATTTTTCTCACAAAATCTGGCACGCAAGGGTATTGAACAAGGCTTAAAAGCAACCCAAGACAAACACCTAGCACATGAGCACTCACTAGTGTAGAGTTTGATCTGCATACTGTGAGGGATTGGGCTCATAACATTATGCCTTCTAGGTAATGCCAATGTGGCAATCCCAACTGAAAGGCGTAAAGTGGCACTTTACAAAATTGATGCCAAATTGGTTGGTTTAAGTTCCAAAGAATTGGGACTAGAAGCCAACGGCCTATTATTCGGTGACACTTTTATCAGAGACTTCTTTAAGCATGTCTCGGTATTCTCCACAGACTACTGGGTTGCAGGACTCATCCAATCCTATTATCGCCAATTCTTTAACAACAGATGATCTGTTCAATGACATAGTTTTGCTTCCCTAAACGGTTGCACTGCTTCAGGTAATAGACCTTACTTATTTCAATGTACCTACTGCAAATTGACTAACCCATTTTTTTCCAACAGTGGAAACTACTTTCTCTATAAGTATTAATTATTGTTATCTATAATTATTATTATGGATGTCAAAGGGAGACAACATAACCTCTTTATGCAAAGTTATGCAAATTCATGGAGAAAGGGGCAATCGAATGGTTGCCTTTTCCCCGTACTTTTCTCAGCAACATATTCCTTATACGCAAAAAGACAGGATCATTGCCCAATTATCAATCTGAAGAACCTGAATCAATATGTCAGGTACCATAATTTCAAGATGGAAGGCCTCCTTTGTTTGGGAGACTGGCTCTCCAGATTCAACCACAAAGACGCATACCTCACAGTCCCAGTCGCCCAAAGCCAACGTGCTTTCCTTCAATTCCTATGGCAAGGAGAAATGTGGCAGTTCATCTGCATTCCTTTCAGCCTTTGCATCATAGTGCTTCACCAAATTGATGAAACCGGTTATGGCGTTACTCCGGTTCTATTATATTTCTGGATGACATCCTGATAATGAATCAGGACCCACATCACACGAACTTGACTTCTGCTTTACTGCAAAACCTATTGTTTGTTATAAAGTTGCAGAAATCGGATCTGGAACCTTCTCAGGTGGTTCAGATAGACTCTATACAGGCAATTCTACAACTGCCTTACTCCAAAATAAAAACTATAAAGAGAGAAATTTGGAAATTGCTGTCCACTCAATGACTTTGTCTACACGACTTTACATACACATTATAGGACTTCTCTCTGCTTCCATCCAGGCTATGTTTTCGTGACCTTTGCATTACCAAGCCATGCAACGATTAAAATTTTTTACTTGCATTGCTCCACTTCTTACGACCAATTCAGATCCGTGACGGACGAGGTCCGTATAGAACTGCATTGGTGGCTTCACAATATGGAAGCCTGGAACGGGAAAGCGATCTTCAGATTACAACCAGACTTCATTTTGGGGTCAGGTACCAGCCTCTTGGGATGCAGAGCAACTTGTTCTGAGTTTTCAACCAAAGTGCCTTTTGTACGGGCACTACACATCATTTTCTCGAGGTAATTCACATTTACCTCCTACGAGGACCTCTCAAATTTGATCTCTTCTCATCCCAACTGAATCGCCAAACGGATGCCTTCTTCAGCTGGCATCCAGACCCCCTGTTCTTGGTGGTCGATGTGTTACTGCAGCTATGGCCAGCAAGGGGAGCATATGCATTCCCATCCTTCTCAATGATCCAATGAACCCTTCACCTGGTCAGAGCTCAGAATGTCAAAATAGTGATAATAACTCCATTATGGAGATCTTAGACCTGGTTCCTCACTCTGCTGGAACTATCTGTGGATTATAACCTTCTGTTGCCTCGATCCCTCCATATCCTCAGTCATCGTGTAGGCAACTGCCACCCACTCGTCCTGCAGGGCCATCTTCACCCCGTAGCAAGGACTGTTTCAGGGAATCCTGGCAAGTTGTGGGACTTTTGCTCACAGCTCAAACACTCCTATGAAAGGATTCATGGGCCCCAGGAACTAGACAAACTTACCTTTCTGCATGGCGAATTTGGGTCAGCTGGTGTCTGGAAAGGGATATTGATCCCTTTTCAGCATCTCTTACATTCTTATTGAACTGCTTATCCTCTCTCTTTGATCAAGGCAAATCTTATTGATCAATAAATGTATTTTGATCCACCATCTCTGCAGCTCATGATACTATTGATAATTCGCCAATAGGAAAACACCCTTCCGTTTGTAGACTTTTATGTGGCATATGGTTGGCGAGACCTCCTACCTCCAGCTATTCTAATTTCTGTGATGTCTCTCGAGTTCATTTTAGGAGTCTTGACCTTCTAACGAAGCCTTATTTCTACACCAGCTTTCTGCTAAACTGGCCCTTCTCCTTTCTCTAGTGTCTTTCTGTAGAGTTTCTGGTATTTAAGCCTTTCACTCCATAGCTTTCATGCCAGACGGAGTCAGATTTGCTATTACGAAGACCAATTCCTCATCATTTTTTTTTTAGCCATATTTTCCGCCACTAAATTGATAGCACGACTGCTCTGCATACTCCACCAGGGCCCCTTCTTATCTCTTATGTCAGACCTCATTACGATTGCATGTTGGATCAGATATTTACTCACTCAAGCAATAAATGACCAGTCCTTTGATGTTTTCATGTGATAAACATCTTAACCCTTCTTCTTGTAGAATAGCTGGTAACATCAGGTCCAAAGTGCCAATAGTATGTATTAGGCTATTGTAATTTTTCTTCCACTGTTGCTAGGATACAGGGGACTGTACAAAGAAGGCTTGTTTTTTAATCAGTTTTAGTGTGTGCAAGTTTTGGAAGCTGTTTTTGGGGGCTGGAGGTAACACTGAAATATTGAGAAAAATGTTGGTACAAATTGAACAGAATCTTTTGGACCGAAGTTGACCCAATGGATTACTGTGGGCCCACATGAAATGAGATTGCAAGGCAATGTTTTATTCATTTTTAGAGTGTGCAAATTTTGGAAGCTGTTTTTTGAGGGGGGTGGGAGGACAGGGGTAACACTGAAACATTGAGAAAAATGTGGGTACAAAGTGAACAGAATCTTTTAGACCAAAGTTGACCCAATGGATTACATTGGGCCCACATGAACTGAGTTTGCAATGCAATGTTTTTAATCAATTTTAGTGTGTGCAAGTTTTGGAAGCTTTTTTTTTTGGGGGGGGGGTAAACTGAAACATTGAGAAAAATGTTGGTACAAAGTGGATTACTTTGGGCAGTGGTGTATCCTGGTTTTGCTGCCCTAGGCAGGACAAAACTCAGGCGCCGCCCCCAACCTTCCTTCTAAATACACACACACATACATTCACTGACAGATACGCATACACTGCTAACAGACACACACACTCACTAACAGACACACACTCACAGGCAAACACACTCACACACACTCACTGACACACAGTCAGACACAGTCAGACACACACACTCACAGACACACACACACACACACACACACATTTACACACTCACAGACACACACACACACTCACACACACACACTCACAGACACACACACACACTCACAGACACACACACACTCACAGACACACACACACTCACTGACACAAAGTCAGACACACACATACACACTAACAGACACAGTCAGACACACACACTAACAAAACACACACACACCTTACCTTTGGGAGTGCTGGGGGGAGGGGTTCATTACCTCCCTGGTGGTTCAGTGGTTGCTGGGCGGCGCTGGGCGGCCGGCTTGCCGGCGAGGGAGCTCTTCCACTGAGCGGTCTGCTCAGCTCCCTCGCGCGCCGCAAAGTGAGGCTGGGAGCCAGAAGATGACGTCATATTCCGGCTCCCAGCCTCACTCTGCGGGCGGCGTGCGAGGGAGCTGAGCAGACCCCTCAGGGGAAGAGCTCCCTCGCCGGCCGCCCGCCCAGTGCCACCCGCCAGCCCAGCGCCCGGCATGTCACTTAGCCGCGAGGCTAACAAAGCATTTGCCTGGGCATTTGGGGGGCGGCGTTTTTTGCCGCCCCCTGAAAAATGCCGCCCAAGGCAAATGCCGCACAAGGCAAATGCCTTGTTTGCCTCGCGGCTAAAATGCCCCTGACTTTGGGCCCACATGAACTGAGTTTGCAAGGCAATCGAGGTTACATATGTCTTTCCCAACATATTATCTTGAATTTGGAATAGAATGCATGAAGGCAGTCCATATTTACTATGATATACCATTAGTCTGTATTTCATGGAGCATTAGATAATTTGATTATAAATACAAATTTTTTTTATGTCTTGTTCTAACCTACATTTAATTTGTCACATTTTAAGCTTACACAATGAAATTTATTTTTTTATCTATAATGAAGAAAATACCATTTGTCCTGAAGCAAGACTTATAATCTTACTTTATGGTTGAGTGTTAACCTACTGACAATGACCTTGTAGCATTTGCAGAGAAAAATGATTAAAGAAGCTATATCATGAGAGATACTCAAGGAAGCGTGGGAGGGAAAACAAAGACCCTTAAAGGTTTTGAGCTTCACCGTATATTAAAGCTGAGATATAACAGCAAGGTAAAAAAGCTCTAGGTATGTAAAGGCAGAAAAGGAAGCAGTCTCACATGGCTCATTTTGTCAAGGAAGATGCTATATTGTTTCTATGATGATTTTATGACAAGCTATAATTCATTTTTAAAGGAAAATAAAACCTTTGAATATTCAAAGAAAACTATCCATCTATAACCTGAAAAGGTGAAAAAACGCTATTCACACTTGCAGTTAGGAGCTAATGACTGGAATTATTGAAAGTTAGTCTTAATAAACCTTTTTGAACCAAGGCTATACATACAAAATTAACCTTTTATTTTGTAAGTTTCTGCAGATTTATTCTATTAGAAAAAAAAAATAATAACTGGCACACAGTTGTTAAATTCTAATACATACCGTAAGTATGAAGAGAACAGGTCCCACAAATGCCCAGATTATATCAGTCTGCACATTCAGCCAGCAATGAGTGTCTGCCACATACTTATTGAAAGACGTTGCCAAAGTCACACTGACAATTACAATTGGAAGTCCTAAAATAAAGAGAGAACATAACCAACAGCTGCAATGTTACATCATATTCAATAAATGGGGGGGGGGGGCTGGACCATCCTCTGGGTTACTAGTATAGTAAGGATTGTGGGCGAATGCCTCACCGCACAATACTAAAATATATCCTTCTAGTATGAAGTCTTGTCTTTTAGTTTTTGCCATATTAGTAAAATAAATTATAGCATACATTTAAGAAAGAATATGGTGGGATGATGTCCTGGTTTGGAGCCGGATTGGACTACTTGATGTCAAATATTAGCTAACCCTCTCTTGCTCATGTGCATGATGAAATGGCTTAAAGGAACACTCGAGGGACCATAACCACTACTGGATTACAATCCTTCATGTTAATATTCTGTTATCTACTCATGGGGCCCATATCTGTTTCTAATTTGCTAAATATTATATTTAATTCATTTTCAAGACTCTGCATAAATTTAACAAAGAGTCTTGAGTCAGGATGAAACTTATGTGCGATCTCTGAGAAATCATCAGTTGAACACTTACTGCTTACATCTATGTAGGCAGATATAGGGAAACATTTTAGAAAAAAAAATTAAATATATTTGTGGCCATTACAAACCATTGTATGGAAATCTATTAAATAAACAGTACTATACATATAAGGCAAATGAATGGGTTTTCTACACTAAGAACAATAAGGATGTGACATTCTCTGTCTGAAGAGGTAGGTTGTTTTTTGAAGTCTATATGTTGAAAAAGCAATTGAATAAATACTTCCAAAAATAGAATATTCAGCGATATCATTTTTAATTAGTGGGGCAATACCTTCTTGATCCAAGGAGACGGACTGCCACTTTTGAGTCAAGAAGGATTTTTTTCCTAGTTTGTTGCAAAATTGGAAGAGCTTCAAACTGAATTTTTCCCTTCTTTTGGATCAACAGCAAAAACAGATGTGAGAAAGACTGAACTAGATGTCTCTTTTCAGCTATATAACTATCAGTCTGAACGTATCTGAACTTAGAATTTTGTTTCGAGTTGAACATTTTCTTTTTTTTACACATTCTCACTTACAAAATATATTTGCCTCTCAGCCTACTGTCCATTGTAATATAAATTTAACTTTTTAAAGGAAAAATAAAGGGTTTTGTTTATTCTCAACCATTTACTCACAACCATTGAAAGCATCCGTTAACGTCTAATATGCACAGTAGCACATACAGATGTATTCCTTAAAGTGAAAATTCAACGTGAATTCAACGTGAATTCTAAATTCAAGGCCAAAATAGCCAAATTGAAACAAGCTATGCTTCCAGTTCAGCTACATAAGCCTGAAATTTGAAATTACTTTTGAATTCACTCTGAATTCTCACTTTAGTAAATAAACCTGATACACATTGAGATGTCAATAATGTTTCATACAAACTCTTAAAACAAATATGAGATGTGTGTTGGAAAGAAAAAGACAGATAAGAAAATATAGAGTACCCCTATCAATATGTCAATGACTTAGCATAGCTCAGCGTCTCTCTCTCAATATTTACCCTAGACATGTTCAGCCTAGCCTGTACCCTACACTACATTGAAAAATGGTACAGTATACTTGAATGCCTTTCTAACTGTTATGCTTTGTCCAGTTAGCTGTCTTACCAATGCTGTTGGAGCTTTGTAAGATGTCTGTTATTCACATGCACACAAAAATATAGAAATAAAAAAATAGAGAGAGAAAAGGCAAAAAAGAAGCAAATGGCAGCGCGGAAGGGGAAGGGATTTATTTATTGATTATCTTTTCTTCCTTCTTTTGGATTAAATACAAATAAAAATAGAACCTTCATTAAAGTACCATTGTCATAAATATTTTTTAATATAATAATTCAGGCTTTGAAAGAATTTTTTTACAATTTTTTTTATTAACTACAAGAAAAGTCAATTTTCTTTCCAATTTGTTCCAATTCTTAATTTTGTTCTTTCAGCTGCCTATAGATAGCTCCCTAATTTGGTATCCTTCTAAGGAATTCCCATATTTAAAGATAACAAAAAATAAACCTAATTACTAAATACAGCTAAATTAATACCCTTAAATATGGCAATCCCACATAAGGGTACCAAATTAGGGACTTCTCTACTTTCTAAACCAAAGAAAGATTTGCCAGCGATTGCAGCATTTCCTTCATGTGAGTAGGAATTCCAAACCAAAAATATTAGACTAATTTAATCTGAAACAAACCAACTAATGGACAAAATTTGTTTCTGACAAAACAAATCTATTTTAGTTTGAATTCCTTCGAATGTACATAAAATCTTCCTCAATGCCCAAGTCTAATATATATGCACCTTGGGTCATACAGTGTTATAAATTGGCAAGTAGTCTCTATAGTCTTCCTTACTTCTGTGCAGGGAGCAAAGTAGGCCACAGAGAATAACTATTTGTTTTCAAACACTATCTGACTCAAGGTGCATGTATATGACTGATGGATCCCATAATATATTAAAGGTAAGGATGAGTTTTTCTAATTGTCTTTACATTCACTTTATCTAAAAACATAAATTCCTTTCAATATTTGGTAAAAGGAACATTATATTAAGGACAAGTAGCCCATGCTTTTCCTTATAAATCTTTGAAAACTAGAGCAATCAGAAAGAAATCAGAAAGAAACACAGGGAGCTGTAAAGAAACAGATATGACAAACATTATATCTGGTGACAGAGCTACTTTAAATAACCATGGAATCTCATGAAACTATTGTACAAACTAAAAAAAATGCTTATAGCTTGTCCATCTTGTAATAATATAATTTTGTAAAAATTCTGAAAAAAAAGGTTACCAAACATGCTTTATAAATGAGATTTTAAATGAGATTTTTTTTGCAAATAAAAAATAATTATGTCTTTAACATTGCTGTCTCAAGTGATTAAATAATTAACTCACCCCATCCAGTGATGTAATAAAACCTCATCCTTCGATCTTCACTCATGTTAACAGCGACAACTTTACTCCACAACAAAAGACCCTCAACCAACATCCATGCAAAGGCTGCCATGAAGAACAGATGGAGAGAGGCCGTAACAGTGATGCAAACAACCTGACAGACAAATAATATTGTTATCATATAAGTAAGCCCATATAATATCATGAAGAAAACAATTCATTTCCAACTAATCTCTGCACTACTTTAAAAAAATAAAAAAATAAAATAAAAAAGATTGGACCATGAACTGTATATGTAGGACAATTAATGTAGCATAAACTCATGTTATATATACCTCAATTTAATATTTTTGGATTTGTTTTTCAAATGATTTAATATTTTTGGATAAAATACTTTTTTTTAAATTTACATTTTTATTAGGTTTATGTCAAAAATAAATATCAAGTTTGGTACAGTACATTGTGCTATGGGAAGGTAAGTTGTCATGAGCATGCTTACATACATACAAAATCAATAGTACTTTGACTATTAAAGTGGTTACGTTAATATCAGTATTTTGCCTGTACCAACAGAAAAGTTTTTGGGGTGTTTAAGGGTACAAAACGAAAAGTTAGTAGGATATGAGGGAAGAACGATAACAGACTATTGTATGAACAGTTTTATCAAACAAAAGAGAGACTGTCTTATACTTTGTGTAGATAATCTGCATTTGTCAAGTTGGCCTCACAAGGTCTTCATATGGAGAGTAGACAATTGAGGGATGGGATAGCTGGGAGAAATGGGGAGTAAGTAGTCAATGGGAAGGAAAAAAGTGGAGCTAAGAGTTTTTGTTTTGAGTGTTTCGAGCCAGAGCTAGATATGAGGTATGTTCAGTGCTGCCATGTTGCATTGAAGGACTGGAGTTGTGCAGGTAACGCTACGGACATACATTCGTAGATATAATATTGGTTGCTGCTAAGATAATTATTATTGCTAGCTGTTTTGAGGCTTTAAGGAAAGTGGGAGGAAGATGATAAAGAGACAGGTGGATGGATTGCGTAGTAAATATGTGATTTTTAGTGTTAAAAGTAGGTCACGTACTTTATCTCACAGTGGTTTGAACACGGAGCATTCCCACCAAATATGATTCATGTCTCCCTCTGTTATTCTGCATCTACAGCAAAATGCTGAAACATTGGGGTACATTTTGTGAAGTCAGTTTGTGGTTAGGTACCACTTGTATACACATTTTTTGTGGACCTGAGGGGAATTGGGTGTTTTCTTTGGACCATTGTGTTTCAAAAGAATATGGTTTTTCATGGACAGAGTTCATTATGGACTTATAGCATAAATACAGTATTTTGGGATTATCAGGTGCCAGTATATATATATATATATAAATTCAGATAGTGATCAGCACTCACGGATTTTCAAGAATTAAAATTAACAATTTATTAAGTATCCATTAAAAGATCAACGTTTCAGTCCCAGCAGGGACTTTCATCAGGATCAGGCCTGATCCTGATGAAAGTCCCTGCTGGGACTGAAACGTTGATCTTTTAATGGACACTTAATAAATTGTTAATTTTAATTCTTGAAAATCCGTGAGTGCTGATCATTATCTGAATTTATTTGAATTTTCCTTAATTACAAGCACCCGGTTATTAAATCATCCAAGAGTGAGTGCAAGGACTTTTCTATTTTTGCTATATATATATATATATATATATATATATATATATATATATATATATATATATATTCATATATTATTCATGTAGTATCTGTTTGTGTGTATGAGTAATGGGTGCTTCAAGACTTATGTGAAGATGATGCCTGTCAACTGTAAGTATTGGAAAATAGCAGAGTTGGGTGAGTTATATATTTATTTTTTTGTATTTCATGAAAAAGTATAATGTTGCCTTCTTGGCATTTATCATCAATGGAGGAAATGCCCTGTCTATTAGGGATTTATCTATTTTCTAAACCAAAGAAAGACATGCAAGTTATTGCAGCATTTCATTTATGCTTGTATTGTCAGACACAGTGAGATTGCTGTCAAGGCTGTCAGAGGGGCTCTGGGATTAGAGTAGCATTGGCTTCTGTTGTTTTGTAGTGTGCGCCATTGCTGGATTGATAGTTTAGTGGTGGGGAATAATTGTGGTTCTGTCCGGCGTAGTGGTTTGGGAGCCAAAATAAGGTTTAATAAGGAATCTCTTGGAGCTCGGTCATTTCCCATATCTACCCATTGCCATATCTTCCATTTAGGAACATGACAGATATTTTGAACCAGTTTGGGGGAGTTCATGCCCTTGTTCACACACCACATTGTCAGGGTTTGACATATGGAATCTACAAATGCAGAACTTGTACTAGCAAAATAATAAAAAAAAAGTCCAAGGCAAACAAATCCAATATGGCAAGGCAAAGTCAGGCAATCCAAGGGTCAAATTACAAGCAGCAAGGGTTCGGTAACAGTGAGGCAATCCAAGGTCAGGTAACAGGTATTCCGAAAACATATAACACGTGTAACAGCAGGATGTAGCACAGAACAACTGTCCAATGAAAGCTCAGCTGTTCTAGGTTTAATTACTGTGCCATATTGAAAGTCCACCTACTTGACAAGCCTCCATAACACC